TTTTATACAAAATAATTAAATTAAATTTTTAATTTATTAATTTATTATTAATTATAATAGAATTTTAAGAACTTCACTAACGCCAACAAATCAAAATGTGTATTAAAGAAAGTATATTGTACAAGACAATTATTTCATTCAAAAGCAGTCCTACGGAACATTTCTATGAAAGTCACCCTGATGACGAGGAGCCAACTGGAGACGATGAAGAAATTACTATTTAAAATTGTCTGAAGACAACACACTTAATAAAAATTTAAAACAACTATTATTTATAATTTATTTTATTATTTATTTTATTTATAAGAAAAGTGGTATAAAATGTAAAAAATAACAACAGACAAATTATTTGTTTCAATGCAAAAAAATATATCTTTATATATCATTATTATAATTGTGGTTAATGTTAATTTATTACAGTTTTTATAATATTGAATAAGAAAATAATTGAAACGTTTCAGTACTTTAGTGTTTTCAAAGCAACAATTTGGTAAACAAGTAAAATTGAGTGCGCAGTTGAACAGTTTGAAACAAATTGAGTGTGCAGTTAAACAGTTTGAAACAAATCAAGTGTGCAGTTAAACAGTTTGCGTTAATCTAATAACATTAAACTTACAATAGGGTGAAGTGAAATTTATATTTTTCAAATAAAAATGCCACCAAAATTTTATAGTGGTTTAAAAATATAACTCAAGTATGCCGCTTTTAAACTAAATTTAACAAAACCACTCCCTAACTGCAATTTCAACATTTTGGACGGTTTTATAAAAACACTGCTCAAAGCAATAGTCTTTCTCCAAACAGATATGGTACTTAATTTTACTGTTTTATTGATTAATCTAACTGACGCATAATGCGTTGCTCTATCATTATGCTCTATTAGTGGCCATGGCGCTGAATCTCCATGACAGGAGATCCAGGTTCAAAACAAGCTCTGGACATATTTTCGCGTCACGATATGGAAGAAAGCGTAAACTTCCTGGTTAAATGCACTTCCGCGGTGCCCTGTGACATGATCTTCTTGAGGCACCTAAATAACAAAATTAAACTATTATTAAATGAGTAGATTGGTTAACAAATATTAAAGCATTTTTATTAAACTGATTTCTTATTAAGGCATCAAAATTAATTGGTTATTTTTATTTGCATATTCAATACAAAAATAAATTAGTTTTTATATAAAAGCAGATTTATTCTATTATTTTGGTTTATCAAAAAAAAATTTTGACTTGTTAAGTTTGAATGACTCCGGAGTTTATTTATTAAATCTATTGTAAACAGGGTTATCTTATTAATAGTAAACATAAGACATTATAACAGTATAATTTTATGACGTTTCACGAGTACCTTAAAACTGGTAGAAAAAAACAATTAAAAGAAGTAACCACTAAAGCGTCAACTAAGTATATTTCTAAAAATACGTCTTGTTATTAAATTTATATTTTATTGCTAATATGTTCTCGGCTCTCACGATGCTATTTGTGTATTTTTTAATTTAAGCATATCGTTATCCGGTTTCCTGTTATGTAATATGTTACTATAATTATTACTACATACATTTTAATTCATTAAGGCATACATTTAGTTACAACTTTTAACCTATATATAACTTATATTATTAAATCATCAGAAATCCATGTTTTATGATGAATTTAAAGATTTTACTAAAAATTGGGATAAACTTAAACTAAATTTACCTGAAGTTTATATAAGCTATAACACAAATGAAGACACTGAGCTACCAATATTACATTTGAAAAAAAATGAAATTGAACAAAAAAACTGCAAAATATATACTCGCTGTTTTAATTGTTTTCTTTGTTGTTTAAATGTTTTGCTTCAGTACAGATTATTTTTTGAATCGTACAGCCATTATTTTTTGGCCTATAAATATATCTTGACTTTGTGTTGCACCCAAGTAGGCGGTGAATAAAGTTTTTCTACCTTAAATTATATAAAAATTGTCTACGGAATCGTTTATCACTTGACTGTCAAGTGAAAAACGATTCCGAAGACAATTTTTTTATATATTTAAGGTAGAAAAACCTTTTTTTGTCAAGTTGACAATATGAATGCAATATGAATATGACAATATGAATTGAATCTTACTGAATTAAAATAAAGTCATTTTAAAAAGAATTAACACACGATAACATTATTGATGAAGTTGTAAAACATAGTTCTTTACTAAAAAATTTTTAATTATTTTGATTATTATACTTCATTAGTTATTAAACATGATGGTTTTTTTATTTGTATTATTTTATTAATGTGTTACAGGGTTTTCGCTCTTCATTAAAAACCATAAATAATTAAAACCTTCTTTAAACTTATTTAATAACTTTTAGAAGATTGAAAATAACCTCAAATAGATTGAAATTATCTCCTTGAGTAATGAGTTTTTCCTAAATTTTTAACACTTTTTTTGCGATTTTAAATCAAATCTCCTTGAAAATTAAGAAAGTTTAACAAAGCCTAAAAACTTGTGAAAAGACCTTTATTAGATTTTAGAAAGAAACTGTCATCCATCTTTTTATTATAATTATTAAATGATATTTAAAAAAGCAAGAAGTGTAAATAGGCTGTAACAATTTGATGAGGTCGGTCACTAATGATTTTCCTGGTCCATGTTTTAGAGCTAGTCTAACCCTGATTGTAAATAACGTTGACCCTGTATTTAGAACGAATGGATTTAGGCTTTGAGAATTTGGAATTCACTCAAATTAGTGGTTTTTTTGAAATAACTAATTTTGTTATTGACGATAATTTAAAAAACAAAATATTAGGCCGGTTGAGTAAAAAAAGCAATAGCTTTAACTCAGTAATTGGTCAGTTTTACGTGAATAAAAACTTTTGCTCAAACTTTTTATTTTGATGCCTTATCAAGAAATCTTTACAACGTTTATTAACGTGAAGCTGAACAATTACTCAGCGTTTTTGGAGTAAAGAAGTAAGCTTTATGTGAATTAAAATTTGAGCGAGCTTGCTAAAATTTTTATTCACGTAAAGCTGAACAATTACTCCAAACACGCTGAGTAAAAGCAATTGCTTTTTTTATTTTTCATTATCTCAATAATAATATTTTTTTTAAATTTAAAACAGAACTGTGTAATTACATATTTTTATTACCATGTTTCCGTCTAATTCAGAATTAGTAAAAACAAAAACAAAAAACATACCTAAAAGTTAAAATAATTGCAATTATAAATGAAGAATTAATAGAATGATCTAAGTACCAAGATAAAACAAATATATTTTAGAACATTAATTATAGTTATTAAAATAATATTAAAAAATGCACTTCTCAGTAAGCACAAAACGTGTTCAAAACATCTAAAAATTTTATTAGCAGAAATGAAAACAAATTATAAAAAAGTTGAAAATTAGAAAGGATCAGTTTTAACATATAGTCAACGTGCCCAATATGCATTTGACCAACTTGCCTCGTTGTAATGTTTAGAGTATAAATGCTTTTATGTTTAAACTATTAACCAATATTGATTAACAATATATACTAAAATAAACTTTAAACTATGAGCTTTAAATTTAGGATAATGCATTACTGTTAACCACCTGTGAGAATTTTAACGTTAAACAAACTATTAAATATTTACTCTGATCATAAAAATTGTTAAAGCAACCCCACACTATTAACTATGATTCACTAAATATGATTTTTTTTGGAAAAAGGTTTAAATTATTACCAAACCCCACTTAGATTCCCATCTCGCTAAAGCGCATAATCTTTGAATAAACTCGACTGGAGCAACCTGCCCCGGTCTACCCTTATAGTTTTATTGTCTAAGAAAAAAAATTGTAGGCATAGTGAGTGTGGTGTTAATGTCTACAGTTGTGGTGTTAATGTCAGGTGTGATGGTGTGACGGATTGGTTTGTTCTGTCTGGTTGTCTGTTATGGTTTTGATATGTTTGCGCAACATTTATATAAGGTTAATAAAAAGTTCAACACACTTACATATTGTGTTGACGTACTCTGATGTAAGACCAAAAAAATTGAGATTATTTTATTGAATGCACATCTCGAGTTTAAGCGAGGAATTCTTAACTCTAAGAGCTAGAACACAAGTTGCAAACGTATATTAAATAACTACTTTCGTCTCATAATTTCTTACTTGAATATAATATATTCAATTGAATTATAATTACTTGAATATAATATGTTTGAATTTTAATTTTTTATATTCAAGTAAAAAATTATTTGATGAATTATATATATTTCTTTAGAATAAAGAAAGATTAAATGACTATGAACTAATTAATAGTAGAGTAAAATGGGATAATTTTCCCTTTTTAGAAATTTCACTACCAATTGGTGTATATCTACTTTATAACTATAATTTTACTCAGGAATAAGATTTTTTTTAAATTCAAGTTTCTATTAGAAGAATAACAAGTTTCTAAAAAAATTAATTGACAAAAATAATCTATAAAAAAACAGAAAATTTAAAATTCTCAAAAAAATTAAATTACTTATTTCCATTCAAAATTTAAAAGACTAAAACATTGAAAATTTTTCAAAAAATATTTGTATTGTTTTTTTCTTTCTAATTTTGATCGGTTTCAAAGTTATTACGGAAATACTAAATGGGGGAATTTCGCCACCTAGTTATATTAAATAAAAATGTGCTTTGATTGGATAATGAATATTATTTCCCTTCCTCTTGTTTTGGTAATTAATTTGTTAGGTCATGTTGGTCTTATGCGCTTTTGATTAAATAATTTGATTATTATGTCTAATTAAAATAATATTTTTAACTGTGACAAAGTTGGGTTTGATTGTGATCAAGGTTTAAAATCAGTCTTAATTTTAAAAGGAGCAAGATAACCACTTGTTAATAGTGGCAATAACGAAAAAGTTAACTACACTGTCAACTATTTCTGCAATGCCAACGGTGATTATTTGCCACCTTTTGTAATCTACAAAACAAAACATTTTTGGGTTTAATTTCGTTTTAGTGGACCATCAGGTACATACTATACTATGTCCCCTTCTGGTTGGATGGAGGAGGATCAATTTGTACAATGGATTAACTCTGTCTTCATTCCTTTTAAAAATGTAAATTGTGAAGGCCGAGTAGTTTTAATAGCTGATGATCATTTAACTCATGTTTTTATGGCAGCAATTCAACTATACCAAAAGTATAATATTGACTTGGTAATTTTACCATCCCGTTCTTCAAAATTTTTTCAATCACTTGATTCGAACGTTTATAGTCACGTTAAAAATGTCTGGCGCGCAATTCTTCAACAACACTACAGAGAAACTGGTTTTAGAAATGTTGGTAAGCTAACATTTCCTCTCTTACTTTTTAAGTTACATTCATTAGAGCAGGATTTAAAAATATCACATGCAGTCCGTGGTTTTAAAAGTATAAATCTCTATCCATTGAATAAAAATGCAGTTAATAAAGAGAAACTCAAGCTTTCAGAGCTTTAAAATCCACCAGCACCAAAACCAGCACCAACAACCCCATTAACGTAATTGAGTCAGAAGCTAAAAATCAAAACCAACTATTGAAGCGAAGAAAAACTGATGATTGGCAGCGAAGAAGATAACAAATACTCAAACATAGCAGAGAATAAATGCAGTAAAGCAAAGTGTCAAAAATCTTTCAATAGCGCAACAACTGATTTGCAAAACCTTTGGTTGCAATATGAGAAAAGTTCTTATTGAAAACGGATCTGTAAAAAATGTCGTCCCAAAAAAAATACTATAGAATTTTATTGCTCAGTAAAATGTAGAAACAATGAGTGTTTGACTTTTATCTCTTCGTCTCTCATGTATTACAATTTGTAATTGATTTTTTTTTTTAAGTTTAGTTGATTATTCTAAAACTCTTTTTTTAGTCTACTAACACCCCCCCCCCCCCAGGACCGTCTTTATAGCTTTCAAAATATCCTAGATTTCTAAAAAAAATAGGTAAAAAAGTGGAAGGGGGACATGATACCTCTCAGTATGTCCTCAGGCATGTCCTCCCTCCACTTTTTTTAATGGCCATGTTCCCACTTATTGAATATTGTTAGATTTCTTTTATTTAACTGTTTGTAAATGTGTTTTAAAGGTTTATAATTTAAAATAAAAAATTTATGTTATAAATAATGTAGGTGGCGAAATTCCCCCAAATTAGATTTTATTGAGATAATTTTGCCACCCCATTTTTTCTGTTCTAATTATTAAAAAAAAAAAAATTAAAAAAATTAAAGTATGTAAAGATTATAAAAATTTTATTAACAATAAAAAAAAATTCGATTTACATTTTCAGCTCGTTTGTTATTTAAATTGAAAGAATTAGTTGCGAAATTACCCCATCTTACTCAATAACTAACAAATCAAAAATTACAATAATATTAAGAAAAAATGGAAATAAAAGAAAAACATTATAAGTTACTAACTACTTTGAATATAAAAAGATATTCCTAAAATAGATCCTCTTAATCAAGTTATAAAACCTGGTATACTTAATTTAACTAACGTGATTCTGGATAAAGCAACAACTGAACTACTTAATTCAAGTCTGTGCCACTACAAAAGAAATTCCCTAATATAGATATTTTAACTAATATTGAAATGTTCGCTTTACAACTTAAAAAACTGGATAAACCAACACAAACATAATCTCTAAGACACAACTGTTCTAAAGTTTTTAAAAATTTTGGTTGGGTACCTCAAGATAATTTCCTAGAGCATTGATATTTTTTCAGAGTATTAAAGAAATGAATGGACATTAAATTGTCCTGTATTTTTTAAAGTTGTACTTATTTTATTATAAATTCGCTTCATTTAAATCCAAAATTAACATACTTTTGAAAAACTTTTTTTTTTTTAATATTAAGGACTCATTAAATTTTCAAAGGTCTTGGGGTACCTCAAGATAATCTCCTAGAGCATTGATATTTTTTCAGAGTATTAAAGAAATAAATGGACATTGTATTTTTTTAAGTTGTACATACTAATATATTATCATGGTTTTTTTGCTTAATGTTTGTATTGTCCTGTCTTATTATTATTTTTTCCTTTTAGTTTGTTTAATGTTGGTCATACATTTTTAAAGTTGTATACATTTTTAAAAGTGTATATCTATATGCCTATGTATGCATTTCTATGTGAGTGTATGTAGACGCTTATGTGTATTTTTTCTGTACTTTTGTATTATGTTTTTCTGTACTTTTGTATTGTGATTTTAATGTTTATTTTGTGCAAAAACTATTTTTATTATTATAACTATTATTTTATTCATTTTCGTTAGGTGATTACTTAATATTAGTTATATTTCTATTTGTAAACTAATTTAAAACATAGATAATACGAATTCTCTCAATTCTAATTTATTTGAAATTTTTGCCGGATTATAGGCACCGGCACCAAAAAAAAAAACTGTGACCGTTGAATAACAACAAGTATTTTAAATTTTGACGTCACCTTTATAATGGCTTCTTTTACTTAAGTATGAAAAAATATATGTCCAAAAATTTGTTTTTACATATTGTCCATTGTCCAAATTCACACCACAGTACATTGGAGACACTGATCTCAAAATATAACTGGATAGCGTATACGGCAAATTTTTTGGAGTCAGTTTTGGCCTCCCAATATGGCGGCGTATTTGGTTGATTACAAATTTAGAAATATTTGTTACGAACTTTTATTTTTTTTATTATATAAAAATAAATGCACAAGTCTCAAACAAAAAATGTAATTTTCGGTTTTACATAGCAATTGTTTTAGAAAGAAACACAATAATACATATTTACGTTAATGTCTAAAAATAAATATAATATTTTGTTTAACAATACTCTACTCAAACAATATTACTAATAAATATTATACTCTTATAATATCACAATATATATTACTAATACATATATCACAATATATATTACTAATAAATATTATACTCAAACAATAAATAATATACTCTAAATAGTTTCAAACAATAAGTTTGTGTAATATCTTTTTTTTTTTTTTTTTAATTTAATTAAACAAGATAATATTTTTTAGTTAAAGTAATTAAAAACTATTTTATTTAATTTTAGTAAAGAATTATACCATTAACCTAGTAGTTAACTACTAGGTTCCACTAATATTTCATAACTAGTTATAACCTATCAGCAGAAATAAAAAATAAATATGAACCTAGTAGTTATCCAATTTAACAATTTTCAAACAACTTTCAAATAATCACTATAAATGTGAAAAATTAAAACAACTTTAATCATTTTTTATTTATATTTTATTTATTTGCTTTTAATTTTAGTTTTAAAATAAATTAATCGTTTGTTATTGTTTTTTGTACAAATTTATGTACCTTTTAGTTCTTAACTACCCAATGCTGTGTCCTACAGGGTTAATAACACAACTGCATGGTAGACAGCTGAATATCTTTTTAAAATAAACTATTATAAATTAGTTTTTCAAATAGATATGACAAGTTTACAAATGCTGCATGAACTATTAGCTGAGCTCTGAGTACACACAACTCAGGGTTTCCTTCTAGAATTCTTTATATATATAATTATATGTACTTTATTTTTTATTTGGTTGTACTTCTATATATATATATATAATAATAATAATAATAATTAGAGATTAAAGTGCCATTATTTACAACAATCACAATAGTGATGAAGTAATTCAGAAGCACTAAACAAGTAAACTATGAGTCTGAAAAAGAGTTCATAAAAAGTTCATATTTTTGTCTTTTTTTGAATGTTTCTATAGAAGTTGAGTTTCGCGTGTTCAAAGATAAACCATTCCAAATTCGAGGTGCAGCCATACAAAATGATTTTGAGCCTAAGGAGGTTTTTTGTTGACGACTTGTAAGTTGGCAACTGTCTAATGATCTTGTTTTTTGTTTTAAAGTTCGGACTTCTAGGAGTTCAAATAAATATGCAGGAGATTTTGATAATAAAATTTTATATATGATAACTGATATTTTATAGATTATTCTTTGATGTATTGGTAACCAATGAAGAGATTTCAGCAATATTTCTGATTTTAAATGGAAAGGAGAATGGTAAACAATACGAGATAAGTTATTATATATATATATATATATATATCATATTATTGTTATATACATATGGTATTCCTTCAGTTAAGCGGCGTAAAATAAAATTATTATTTTGCTTTTAAAACACTTGCGGAGGATTGCAATCTTAACAATTTGATTTTCTCATTAAATAAATTTGTATTAAAACTTTAAAGCTTCAAGTTTTATTGAGTTTTTTACTTAAAAGAATTAAATAAAAGCAAATTTATTGTTCGTTGATTATTTCCTTGGGTTTTAAGTTTTAGTTTTAATTTTTTTAAATAAGTTGGTATTAAACATTTGTATTATTTAATTTTTTTATATAAATTTGTATTAAAACTTTAAAGCTTCAAATTTTATTGAGTTTTTTTTCTTAAAAGAATTAAATGTAAGCAAGTTTATTGTTCGTTGATTATTTCGTTATGTTTTAAGTTTTAGTTTTAATTTTTTAAACGCTATTATTTGTATAGTCGGAACAATGCCTCGTGCTAGACCAAGCGCACAAACATTTATAGTTGAACCTAATGAAATCTTAGAACCTGAAGTCATTTTACTGGAGAACAGGACTTTTTTTGAAATAGCCAGTGTTGGCGGAGAACCGATGTCCGTTTTTAAATGGCTAGCAAAGCGTAGACTCTTAAAAAATAGTGTATATTGTATGCAATGCGGAATTTCTTTTGGATTAAATGCATACAAGAATGCAACTGATGCTTACCGCTGGTTTTGCAAAAACTGCAAAAAGCGACAGAGTGTTTGTGATGGGTCGTTCTTTAGTAAGAGTAGACTACCACTTAGACAACTTCTGCTCTATATCTACAGCTGGAGGCAAAATGCACCACAACAAGATATACAACATGAAACAGAAATTCACAGATCTGCAACATTAGCTGACTGGGGTAATTTCTGCCGAGATGTCTGCAAAGTTGACATCAAAGGAAATCCTCAAATTATAGGCGGAATTAAAATCGATAGAACACCTATTATTGTTGAAATCGACAAATCCAAATTTTTCCATCGTAAATATCACCGTGGACAATGGCGTCCCGGTCACTAGGTTTTTGGAGGAATAGAAAGAGATTCTCGAAAGTGTTTTTTAGTCGAGGTACCAGATCGTACATCTAGGACTCTTAAAGGGTTCATCATACAACATATTCTTCCTGGATCACACATTGTTTTAGATGGTTGGGTGTCATATGCCGGTATTGAGAATATTGGCGAAGGAATATATTCTCATGAAGTTATAACACATGAGCGACATTTTGTCGATCCTCAAAACAATGATATCCACACTCAAAATGTGGAAAACATGTGGATGAGGTTGGAACGTAAAATAAGACAACAATTCGGCACCTCCGAGACTCTTTTTGAATCTCGTCTCCATGAGTTTGTTTGGCGCCAAAGATACAAAAACAACTCAAAGTTTTCAGCCTTTACTTATTGTGTAAACCGACAGTATCTTCGTGAAATATAGTTTGTCGTTACTTCAAATTTATTTATTAAGTAATTCAAATTTAGTTATTAGGCATAAATAAAAATGTTAATTAATATTCCAACTATTTGCATTAACATCATTAATATATAATTAGATGTTTAACTAAATGTTATTCGATATATGTTTCAGATTAAGCAGCATAAATGCTGTTGACAAGTTGTGGGAATATGTAAACTGGTACGCTATTTTATTTATGGTATGTAAAAGTTATAAATATATAAAAATTCTAAACAATCTTATTTATTATCAGAGGTCATTCGTTCTACGGGAATCATAAAGAGCAATCTTTTTGATAAAACTTAAAAAAAAATTACGGAACGGATTTTTATAAGTAAAGAAACGGATTTTTTTGTTTTATAAGTAACTGTTGCTATATAATAAGTATAAAAACACTTACAATTTTTTTTTTACACACATTAATTACGTAATGTTTTAACTTGAATACATACAAGTTTTTTCTCTGCGGAAGAGAGCGTAATTTCAGACAAATTTGAGACGATGAAAGAAAGCAAATTAATAATTTTACGCCGCTTAACTGAAGCATTACTATATATATATATATATATATATATATATATATATATATATATATATATATATATATATATATATATATATATATATATATATATATATATATATATATATATATATATATATATATATATATATATATATATATATATATATATATATATATATATATATATATATATATATATATATATATATATATATATATATATATATATATATATATATATATATATATATATATATATATATATATATTTATGTATATATATATATATATATATATATATATATATATATATATATATATATATATATATTTATGTATATATATATATATATATATATATATATATATATATATATATATATATATATATATATATATATATATATTTATAAAAGTATTATAAAAGTATTTGCATATATTTAATGCAAATACTTTTTTGATGCAATTTTAGCTAGATATCTGGCAAATTTGAGATCAAAGCTTTTTTGTATTTAGATAGAATGCTGCAATTTGGAATCAAATTGCAGCATTCTTTTTCAGCATTCAACTTCAACAAATCATATTTTTTTGTCAATTAAATTTTAGTCCGATATTTTAGTACTGTAGTGAGCAAAAGAATTGTCTAAAATTTTTGAAATATGAGTTTTATTACTGATGCTGCAGTTTCCATTTGAAAATTGAACTCTAATTCACATTAAGAGTTGTTTAATGTGGTTGTAACTGTTGGCAATTGGTATTGTCGTTAAACAATCTTGTAGATCTCACATCTAAATTAGATCTCACAGCACAATAAAGAAATTGTTAATTGGTTTTGACTGAGCTAATATGTTAATAATTTTATGGCAAACCTTCTTTTTCTACTCAGATGAGATATGTATTTTATTTGCCAATGAAATATCCAATGAAACCAGCTTTTAGACTAGAAAAAGTCATTTGAGAAACAGTTAATCTCTTTAAGACTAATGATATAATTATATAACATGTTAAGAAATGGAAAACAAAGAGCATAGCTGTAAATAGGTTTTGTGAATTTAATATGTGTTGTAATCAATCTTTTTCTCAAAGCGAATAAATTCAACAAAATATTTATATAATTATTTAACTGCAACATACAGTTTAATTAAATAAAAAAAGTCAGTCTTTATATAAACTATAACATAACCATAATACTTAACAGCAGGTAAACAGTATATATAACTTTAGTTAATGAGATATTTCAATGAAGTGTTTTGAATATTTCTATATTAATAATTTAATAAATTTGTTTTTTCAAACAAATTTGTTTGAGGATGTATGTAAAGTTTGTTACATACACCCTCAATTGTATTGATTGATTACCCTTTAAATTATAAGAAATGATTTACTTCGTATTTTTTTTAAAAGTTGATATAAATAACTATAATTCAGATTTTGTTGTTTTTTTTTATCTGCAAAAGTGACACTTTAGAATGTTTTATTCAAATAATTTATGCAATAATAAATTATAATATAATTCTAGAAGGAATCCTTGAGTTTGTACACCCTTGTATACTGACTCAGTTAATAGTTCATTCAGCATTTGTACAAAATGGTATCTTGCTATAAAAAATAGAGAATATAAAATTAGAGGTAGAGATGATTGCTGCTTACCATGCTGTTATGTTATTAACCTTCTAGCATATGGCAACTGGGTAACTAAGAACTAAAAGGTACATAAACTATACACAAAATTTAACAAAAATTGTAAATGTCATTTAATAATAAATTGACTTTTCAAAAAATAATTTTTTTTTTTCACTAATATTTATAAATTTGATTTTTTTCTATTATTTTTCACTTTATTTAAATATTTATTTCAATATTTTCTATCGTAGTTTGAAAAGGTCATATAAAATCTATATTGGTTTCACCGCTAGGAACTTAAATCGCTGCCATCTTGGGAGGCCAATTTTGGCTTCAACTTTTTTCGGAAAAAACAATAGAATCGGCTATCCAGTTATATTTTGAAATCAGTGATTGGAGAACGTTGATGTTTTTGTATCTCAAAGGCTTCACGGACTTTTCTTTCAAATTTTTTATCCTCAACTTTAGCTGTTTCTACTTTATCCCATTCAATGTCCTTGTTACAATTTACTTTATGCAAAGCTAATGGTTTAACTAGACTGGTTTAACTTGCCTTCCGTCAAAAAAATTTTGGTGTTGTTGAACCCTTGTTTGTATTTGTATGGGTTTGTATGGGCTAATAAACAAGACAAATCTTATCCGATGAGAGTCGTTGTATTAACTATTGGCACACTTTGTTATGGAATTTCAAATTACTTGCTTAAAAGAATATAACCGTTTTTAATTAAAAAACCTATTAGGTTAAAAAAATCAAAAGATTTTATTAACAAAACTAAGTCGTGGTTAATTGACAAAGATGAAATACAGGTACCCTTTGATATTGTGAACTTATACCCATCAATACCATTAAATGAAGCAACTTTAATACTTTTGGATTAATTAAATAAATGCGTTTCTTACAAAAACTCAACTAAACCTACTTTAACTGAAACAAAACAACTAATTAAATTTTGTTTGTTTCGTTGTTATTTCTTGTGGAACAGTGAGATTCATGAGTTAGAGAATTCAGACCCAATTGGCTTTTATGGTTATTTTGGCAGAAGGCAATAAAAATGGCGATGACAATGATTCCTTCAATTGATATTAAATCCTTTCATGGATATGTAAACGATAGTCACGCTAGGTTTTCTAACTTAAAGCAAGGGGAACAGTTCCAAACAATCCTTAACAGACAACATACTTCTTTAAAATATTGAAATTGAAAACAAAAATAAGATAATTATTTTTTTAGATATAACTGTTATTAATAATACACAAGGAACATATGAGTTTATAGCTTACAGGAAGGATGTTATAACCAATATCCAAATCAAACCTCATTCTAATCACGATCTCAAAATTTTAAAAGCAATATTCAAAAGATACAAACATACACCGAACATACTCAATATGCAGCGAAAACCATTTAAAAGATGAGATAAATATTTTAATTCAAGTGTCTACTTAAAATGGGTTTGATGAAATAATGCTTAAAGATATTTCTTATCAGCTTCGAAAAAAACGTTTTGCGAAAAAAAATGAAATTCCATCAAACTCTAATAACCTTCCTACAATCTATTCACCATGGATACCAATAATATCCCCAGACTTGGAAGAATATTCAGAAAAGCTAGCTACAGATCTGTTTTTAATTCAAATGCTAACCTAAAAACGCTATTAATGTCTAAAAATAAATCAAAATTACTACGCAACAGCACCCCAGGAACCTATTTAATTAAGAGCAAATGCTCCAAAGTGTATGTCGGTGAAACAAAACTTCAAATACGAACAAGATACAGTGGTTTGTTTTGCACTTTTTGAAGACATTTGACTATACTTAGGAAAAATCTCTTTAAGCGGCATGGGAAAACAAAACATGGCCATGATATATGTTTTAAGGTTAATTTTTGAAGTTCCATCATTAAATAATATTTCTGAGGGCATATCATAACTCTAGGACTCCAAAATAACACACTAGACCACAAAATAACAAGCAGTTACGTCATCATAAAATTAATTGTGGTAATTGAACGCATTGGAGAAATTTAGATCTTACAATTAGGAAACAATCAGATACCAGGTAATTAAGTATAAAACAATTTATTTCTACCATCAAAATTCATATTTTTATTTGTATGATCATTTAAAATTATATAAATAGAGTAAATATTTTTCTGATAATATTATCTTTAAATGAGAAAGTAAAGTTAATTATAAACAATTAAAAGCACAGTAAAATATTTAAAAAAGAAAAATAATAATAACAAAAACAACTAAACAAGGTAACACTTTATATTTTATTTATATTTTAAACGTTTTTACTTGATCCCATTTTATACTACTAGGACATTGAATTTTATGATGCCCAATTGCAAATTGTTCCAATTTTCCTTCAAAATTATTTTTTTAGTGTTGTTTTGTTTATGTTGCTATTTTCATTTTTGTTTCACCGATGTATTTTTGTTCACGTTCGCATTTTATTAGGTATACTCTGGGATGGCTATTTGATGGTAGTTTTGTTTTGTTGCGTGAAGTTAAAAAAGATTTAAGACTTGCACTAGATTTAAATACTGCCCTGTAACCTGCTTTCTTAAAGATTTTTCGAAGTTTTGGTGATAATATTTAGATCCACGATAGTGATACAGTTGGCATGGTTACATCGTTGTTAGATAAGACTATTTCATTATTAGAGCGTCGTTTTTTTATAACAATATTTGCAAGGTCTTGTAATTTTTTCTTTTCGTATCCATTTTCAGCGAACACATTTATTAGGAAATCGATTTCTTTATTTAAAAATTTTTCAGAGCAAATTGATAAAGCTCTATGAATAAATCCTTTAAATATTCTTTCTAAG